ATATAGAGCACCTCAGGAAGAGGAAGGCGAAGACTGGGCAGGCGACTGGGGTTTTTAGGAAGAAACCCAAGGGATTCGATTCTAGGTCGAAGGGCCAGCAGGGCCAGAGCCGCTGTGGGAAATGCGGCAAGACACATGAGGGAGCTTGCAGATTAGGGGGATCAGGATGCTATAAGTGCGGCAATCTTGGGCACTATGGTAGGGATTGTACTGCTCCTATCCCCACCCTTTAGACATTAGACCTGATTTGATTTCATTACAATCAAAAAGGAAATAAAAAGGACAACTTCCCGAGATTGGTACCGGCAACGCTAGTGGTGGCGCCAGCTTTAGCGACCATGCGGATCACAGATGGATGACAGGGCAAGGTAGATGCTCCAGCGGTGAGGAGTCGAGCCTTTCAATTGACCGTCGAGGAGGCACGTGCCGCACCGAATGTGCTGACGGTATGTTTTCTTTTCCCCAACTCTTATTATAGTTCAGTTATGATATTTATGTTTTATGTGTTTTGTTTAGGATCGTTCCATGAGAACGATATCCCAGTTCAAGTGTTATTTGATTCGGGGGCTACCCAATAATTTGTATTTCTCACACTCAGCAAGAGGTTTGCTAAGTCTTCACCCATGTTGGTTTGTCCTTTATAGGTTGAGATTGCTGACGACCAATCTGTCTGGGCATCGGAGGTCTACAGAGACTTTGTTTTGAGGATGTATGATGAGCGTTACCTCATGGATTTGGTTCCCATCCCTTTGCGTGGGAACAAAGGTCATCATAGGCATGGATTGGTTGAGCCCTAATGGGGGGTGGTGATCGACTGTGCGCAATAACTGGTATGTGCCAGGACCCTAAGTGGGGGAGAGTTGGTGATTCAGGTCAAGAGGCCGTAGTGCGGGCTGACTATGTGTTCAGCAGCGAGGGCTAGATGCTACTTCCAGCAGGGATACATAAGCTATGTCGCCTATGTTATGGATACCCGGGAGAAGGGTAAGGTGACTGTCAATAATGTGCCAGTGGTGTGGGAGTATCCAGATGTTTTCCTGGGGGATTTTCCTGGGATACCTCCAGAGAGACAGGTGGAGTTCAGGATTGACCTAAATACGGGCGCGGCTCCGATAGTTGCAGCCCCATATCGTTTGGCTCCTCCGTAGATGCAGGAGTTATCTATACAACTTCAGGAACTATTGGACAGGGGATTCATTAGACCAAGAAGTATACCCTGGGGTGCCCCGATTCTATTTGTGAAGAAGAAGGGTGGATCCCACTGGATGTGTATAGAATATCAGGAGTTGAATAAGGTAACGGTGAAGAACCGTTACCCACACCCGAGGATTGACCTCTTCAACCAGCTACATGGTGCATCTTGGTTTTCCACGATCGATTTACGTTCAGGCTACTACCAGATGAGATTCAGTGAGGAGGATGTGCAAAAGACTGCTTTTCAAACTCCCTATGGCCATTACGATTTCGTGGTGATGCCGCTTGGGCTCACCAATGCTCCTTCCATGTTCATGGACCTCTTGAATCGCGTATGCAAACCGATGTTGGATTGGTTTGTGATAGCCTTCTTCGATGACATCTTGGTTTACTCCAAGATGCAGAAGCAGCACAAGGAGCACTAGTGAGATGTGTTGGATACCCTGAGGAGGGAGAGCTTGTACGCCAAGTTCCCTAAGTGTGAGTTCTGGTTGCGCGAGGTGAAGTTCTTAGGGCACCTTGTCAACCAGAACGGTATTCTGGTCGCCTAGCCAAGGTGGAGGTCGTGATGAGATGGGAGGTTCTGAAGGGTCCATCCGAGATTCGGATTTTCCTTGGTTTAGCATGCTATTACCAGAGACTCATACAAGATTTCTCCAAGATAGTGGTACTACTGACCCGGCTGACGAAGAAGGTTGTTGTATTTCGATAGGGGCCTGAGCAGCAGGCAACGTTTCAGACTTTAAGGAAGAGATTGTGCGAGGCGTCGATCTTATCCCTGCCAGAGGGTGTTGAGGATTTTTTGGTGTATTGTGATGCGTCTATTTCGGGATTAGGCGCAGTATTGATGCAGAGAGGGCACGCCATTGCCTACGCCTCGAGGTAATTGAAGCCTCATGAAACGAACTACCCGACGCACGATCTGAAGTTAGGGGCGGTTGTTTTCTCCCTGAAGATTTTGCGGAATTACCTCTATGGGTTTCGTTGTACCATTTACACGGACCACAAGATCTTAAGGTACCTCATGGATTAGCCGAATCTGAACATGAGACAACGTCGGTGGTTAAATATGGTGAAGGATTATGACTGTGAGATCCTTTACCACCTGGGGAAGGCCAATGTTATGGTCGATGCACTTAGACGCAAGACAGCACCAATCAGAGACATTTGCTTAAGGATGACAGTGGTGACTCCACTTTTGGAGCAAATCTAAGAGGCGTGGGTTGAGTGTATGAAGGGGGAGTGCCGGAAGTGTGAGCGGATCATAGGCTAGGTGGCCTCGTTTGACTATGACAACCGTGGGTTGCTGACCCTACATCGGAGGGTCTGAGTTCCTTATTGGGGAGGGGTACGCCGGGTACTAATGGATGAGGCCCACAAGTAGAGGTTCTCCATCCATCCCGGGGCAACGAAGATGTATCGGGATCTTCGCCCTGATTATTGGTGGCCCTGCATGAAGTGGGACATAGCTTGGTACGTGGAATGGTGCTTGACCTGTAGGAAGTTCAAGGTTGAGCACCAAACGCCTTATGTCAAGACACAGCCGTTAGATATCCCTGTGTGGAAATGGGAGGATATTACTAATGATTTTATCACGAAGCTTCCTGGGACTGCACAGGGAGTGGATTCAATTTGGGTCATCGTGGATCGATTGACCAAGAGTGTCCATTTCATTCCGATCCAGGAGAGCTTTTTAGCCGATAAATTGGTCGACATTTACATCGGGGAGGTAGTAGCTTGGCACGGGTGCCAGTTTCAGTGATTTCAGACCGAGATGTACGGTTTAGTTCCAGATTTTGGAAGAAATTTCATGACGAGCTGGGCACTCGTCTGCACTTTAACACGGATTTTCACCTGCAGACGGATGGTCAGAGTGAGCGAACCATCCAGACTCTGGAGGATATGATGCGGGAATGTGTCTTAGACTTCGGTGGTAGCGGGGATACTTACCTTCCCTTCGCAGAGTTTTCCTACAATAATAGCTACCGCACCAACATTGACCGTCCTCCCTTCGAGATCCTTTATGGGAGGGATTAATTAGATTAATTAAAAATGCATGGACTATTTGGTTATTTATTGAAAGTTGAAGCAGGAACGCTCTAAATCGTCATGGAATGAGGTGGACAAAAGTAGGCTAGGAATATCCTAGAATTTGCATCCATAGGGTAAGGATAACAAGATAAGACAATTTGATTATTATACTAATTAATCTAGGCATTATCCCTTAATCCTTAGCTTTGGCCCAAGTTTCCTTCAACTACATAAAGACCTCCTTGATCTCATATTTTTGACCACTCCTTTCCAAGAAGCTTAGGCCAAAATTTTGAGCTCCCATATTCTCTCTCTTTAAGCCTCCTTGATTCTAGGGTTGGGTGTGAACCATTAGAGGCACGACATTTGTGGTGCTAGCTTCAAACAATTTCAAGAAGGTTTCTACTTTGATTATCTACTAGCATAATCAAAAGGTATGTTTTTATACCCATTTATGATTTTCGAAAATCATAGGGTTCTTGATAATCAAATTGATTATTGCATTCAATAGTGAAAACCTATATCCTTAGGATGTATGCAAACTTAGGGTTTTATTTATCTGCACAAGATGTGATTTTGTTTTGTATAAATCCCATCATTTATGTTTGTCAAAACAATTGAATGGTTATTTGATAGTTTTTTTAGGTTTATGTCATGGATATTTGATACATGGTTGTGCAATATATGATGATGTTTTTGTTGTTTATTTTGCTTATATGTTGATTAAAACAATGTCATTGCATTTTGTTGTATCCATATTGCGTTGGGAAGAAGATAAGTGATGAAATCGTTTGTCTTTGGGGTGGGGAAGGGGGTTTAAACTAAGTTGGGGAACTCATAGTGAAATAACAGATATACCCTAATATGAGGGGTACATAGACAAGACTAAAATCTAAAATTAAACGAAAATACAAAAAAGAACTAAGGGCAAAAAAAATTAGAAACCATATAGGCCACACAACGTTTTTCAATGTTGTTCTCAAAGTATTAAATATGTAGTTTAACCACAAAGACCGACTGTGTGATTTCTTCTTTAAATTATGACAAATATTATATTTTATAATTCTCACAATATGTAAGAATTTTATCTTTATCTAAGTTTGATTTGATTTGTCACTTTATTTTATTAGAACTTTAAAACTAACATTTTACCTTTTGAGCTTTTTTTTTTTTTTCTTTATTAAATTATTCTATTAGCTAAATATAGCTACAGTAAATGCTACTTTATATACCGGAAAAAAAGATAACATTGTTGCATTTTAATTTAATATTTCACTTTCCTTTTAATAAATATATTTACTAGTTGATTGTGGGTCGTTTTTTTTAACGGTATCGTTAAATAAAATAAAAAGCACAGGCAAGGAGCTCAAGCCAAATATAACTAAGTTACCAACTAGGCCAATCTATCAACTTGGCATTACTACTATGCTTAATCCAATTAAAAGTGCACATACAACAGTGTCGGTCAGTGTCGGTCCAAGACGATTTGAGGTTTGGGGCAAAATAAAAGTTAAGACCCTTCACTGCCACACTTCAAAAAATTTTGTTAAATTTACAAGCTTAATACACATTGCATTTTTAGAGGGGCCATAACATTTGAGTAAAATATAACTAATCTGGATTTGTACAAGGTTCGAACGCAAAACCCCATATAGATACATTTCTACAGTTCAACCAGATGAATTACAAGGGTCTTTTGTTATTTTAGGGGAAAATATATTTTTTATTATCTCAAAACTATATATATATATATATATATATATATATATATATATATATATACTAGGGATGTTTACAAGCACGGCCCAAGAATAGGAAATTTGACACAATGTATGGAAATTTGACACAATGGTTTAAATTCAAAAAACCGGTAAATGAGCTGAGACATCCATTCCCTACAATTTCACCCTAGTAGTTCGTGTCTTCAATATCCTTATAACAATTATATATCGAAAAGAAAGAACTGCACAAGCAAGCAAAACCATTAAGTTGAAATGGATTGAAAATGTCAGACATGGATTGATAATCTAGACATGGATTGATAATCTTATATAAGTTAGAAATTTTTTGACCTACATAAATTTCAAAATAATAAAGGGGGTGTTCTTATCATTAAGAAGTTTGAGTTTTCTTAATGTAACTTAACTTCTCGACTGTTTCTCAAAATTTGACTATTTGACCTAAAAGAACTAAAATTTTAATATACCTTTCAATTTTAGGAAGTTGTCACTGGCATAATAATGTTAAAATGATTAATTTGCATTTATCGACACTAAAACCATATTTACAGGTGTGAAGAAGAAAAAATTTATGTAATGGAAGATGAATTCATAAAGATATTTGAACTTTACTTACCCTCTTCTACATTTGCTACAACATGGTTCTACTCCCATGGCATTTTATCTTCACAATGACGATCAGAATACAATCAACAGATCATATTATATAATATATAAACAAATCCGCAATCAGAATCAAATTATAATACTTAAAAAAAAAATGACGAAATTGAACTCCACAAACCTGATTATGAGCTCAAATTGGCATTAACTTATGTAATAAAGTTCAACCAGCCAGCCACATTCAGATGACAAGATTAAGATTTAAAAAGTACTCAAGCAGCTATCACGCTAGAGCTTTCTGGATATCATTGGTAAATAAACTTGATAAGCCCCATATTTCAGTAAATTATTTAGCTAAAATCCCAAATCAATATATCATTTCACTCGAATTACAAAGATTACGGAAAAAAAAACGGGATTACCTTTGTTCGTAGCCTCAAACCTCCACCAAATGCTTGTTCTAACTATGCTTAAAAAACTCCATATTGGATTCAATTGAAAAGGTTACAATGCGAGTGGGATAAGTTATTACATAAGTTCAGTTGAAAATTAAAACCTAAGTCGACGAGCAAAAGCTAGTTCTGAAAATTCTCAATATTACATCGCCTTCAGGAGAAGACAACTTTGATGTATTAATTATTATGTTTCCTAATAGAGACTAATTTTCTTCCAATCTGCAGAGTCTCTATAATGGAGGCAATTCTGAAAATTCTCAATCTGCAGAGTCCCTATAATGAAGGCAATTCAAATTACCAGTTAATTGAGGGCACCTGCCTTGCCTCTTTTTTACCTCCGTTTGACATAAGTAAGAACGGGAGGTGAGAAGATGCTTTCACACCTTTGAATCTATTGATTTCAGTACACATCTCATTATGAAGCTTTCTTACTCAGTTTTCAAATTCAAATAAAATCCACAATAATCCGTAAAATACAACTTCACAAGTAAAGTATTGATAATCACATGCCTCAATTTCATAGACTGCTTGCAGCATACCTAAGTTTTACCCCATCGGAGCATAGAAAACCTATCGTCGCATTCACCACAATCCCCAGGAAAAAACGAAACCAGAAACAAATAAAATCAAGTGAGAACCGCATGATTTAAAACATCCAAATCGATTACATCAAACAAGAAGTTGGTTCCATTTGAGAGTTTACCTCAACCTAGAAGAATTCGCCGGTTTTTCAATGGATAGAAGAAGATGGAGGCCAATCCATTAAACTGATGATATCAAAGTTCTCGTAAGGAGAGAAACATTAGCCTTAACGCAAACTTCGTGAACCCTCCATCAATTTCATGCGCTTTTTTCCCATCAACATGACCACCAAATCAGGAATCGATAAAAACGAGATGAAATAAACAAAATAAAAAGAAAAAAATTGTCAGAATAGGTGAAGTTCAATCTGATGCAAGAAGATAAAGATGACGGATAACCATGGAATGAAGTTATAGAGAGAGAGAGAGAGAGAGAGAGAGAGAGAGAGACGATGGTGTATTGTTTATACATACCTCTTATTCACCTCCTCTTTTTTAGCCATATTGAAGGATGATTTCTCAACATTGTTGCACAAATAGAAATCATAGATAAACGAACATGAAATAGAATAAAGGAAATAGAAATTGAAGATCGTATAGAGTTTTAATACCTGAGGAATAGAAAGAGAAGAGAAGTTGAACAATTTTAAGAGTCCAGTCAATTTGAATGTCTGAATCGCTTTCTAGAGAGAGGAACAGCAGGAGAAAAGAAATAGAGAAGTAGAGGCAGAGGGAGAAGGGAAGGAGACGATGATCTCTAGGTATGTGTTGGGAATGGTGAAAGAAGAGAAAGTAGTGTCCTTTTGCATGAAACGTGTCTTCCTTAAGATAATGAAGAGCAGATGACTCATTTGGAAGAAGGTTGAATTCTTATTTATGAAAATTTCCATCCCCACGCGCACAATATGGAAAAGGAGAAACTGAGACGCGCCAAAACAAAACTATGCGTGAGGAACACGAACAAAGCTTAATATAAAAAGCTTTTCGTGTGTGTGTATATATATATATATATATATATATATATATATATATATATATATATATATATATATATATATATATATATATATATATATATATATATATATATATATAGTATTAATCACTATTTGGGGATTTAGCATGGCCCGGGGCTGTTGCTCAGGGCCCCCACGTTCTAGGGCCGACCTAGCCATACATTTTAAAAACATTACTATGAAAAGATTAAAAGAGATTAACAAAAAAAACACGTATATGGTCTTGAAACAAATTTAATTCCTAGGAAGCATGACCAAATGTGATTGAGACCAAGATATAGAAAAGAATAAAATCCAGATTTCAAGAGAATCAAAACGCATTATAACATCTTCCCAGGAAAAAAATACTAACCAATAAACAACTAAATCTAATCATTGGACAATTTGGGCTTATCAGCCATAATGAGACTTTCAATGCCTGGAGGAGCATCAAGCACATCTGCATAATCATCATCATCATCTTCTTCTTCATCCATGGCAAGTTCTGCAAGAAACCTTGCACACTTGTTTTCTTCAGGAGTTATGGAACTCAGAGTAATTTCGTTTTTCTTGACCAGCTTTTGGCAATCTGAGATCTTTGTCATCCAAACTGAACTTTTTGTATACATATCAGGTTTCTCATAAGCTTTGAAAGCATCTAAAGAATCAGTTTCCAATGTGGTGTTTTGTAATCTTAAGCTATCAATTAAGTCGACTCCTTTTAAAATGGCCAATAATTCAGCTTCAATGCACATTGAACCAGTTCCAAGATGACCTGTAAACCCTCTGATCCAGCGCCCATTTTCATCCCTCAAGATTCCACCATATCCGCTTGATCCCTGGTCACCACTGCTAACACCACTTGTATTTAGCTTGTATGAACCTGCAATTCATAAATAGACTCAACTTTTCACTCACCCGTATAAAGAAAGACAATTTTCAAAGACGAATATCACATACCCATTGAATAACCCATATTTGGAAGTATGTAAACATGACTGAAAGTGTCGATGCATTAGATACATCTTATAAAACAAGAGAGAGACTTTTCGTTTTCCATGTTTAGCCCTTTCAGCTGCCTGGTAGGAGGAGACGGACACACACTACCCATGGTCATTTTGGTCTTTTCCAGAAAGTTACTTACGATGTTCAAAAAAAAAAGTTATTTGCTCGTATGAAAATATAATTAATGTTTTTAAACATGATAATATAGCTCTTTCAAAAATTATTTTACAATTTTTTTCTAAAATTTTTCATATAATCTTTTTAACATTTTCAGCCCTTTTATAAATTATTTTACACTATTTTTAAACTTTTTAACATATTTTTGTTAACTTTCTTTACTAACCTTTTTAAATTGAATTACAACCTTTTTAAACTTTTTTACAACTGTTGAAAAAATATAAATATAAATATTTAATAAGTTTGAAACGTCATAAAAATAAATAAATGAAAACTTTACAAAAATTAAGGTTCAGATAACATTTTTAAACTGTTTAATAAAAGGGAACTGATTCGTACACAACACTTTTTTTCCATACACAACAATTTGTGCTTTAAAGTGTTGTATTGTACAACTCTATAACGCATAAATTGTTGTGTACGGCAAAAAACTGTGGTGTACGAATCACTTCCCTTAATAAAATCTAAAAAGAAATGATCCTTCTTAAACCTTCGTAGTATATTAAAAGAGCTTAAAAAATATCTAAAAGAAGTTTAAAAATTTATAAAAAGTTAAAAATGGTTGCATAAATGTTAAAAAAATAAAATTAAAAAGTGAAAAAAAAAGTGTTATAAAAATGTAATAGATTTTAAAAAAAAAAAAAAATGCAAGTCTTAAAGAATACTAAAAAATTGAAAAAAAAAATTAAGATAATTTTGTTAAAAAAAAATCATTACTTAGACAAAGATGTATATGTAAAAAATAATTTATTAATTAAAAATAAAAATCAATTATTACTTAATTATAATGCATTTTAATATGAGTCCTAAGGCTGTGGGAAGTGGTCACCACCAACCCACCGAAAAAGTGTTGTCACGTCAGCTTCACCACCAACTCACTACACATAGGAAATGGTTACCACTCCACAATTATCTCTTTTTCATTTTTTACTTTTTTATGATTAAATTAAATAAATAAATAATTTAAAACATAAATATATATATTTTAAAAACATAGAATAATAAAACCATATTTCATTAATATATATATATATATATATATATATATATATATATATATATATATATATATATATATATATATATATATATATAGAGAGAGAGAGAGAGAGAGAGCTAGTTGAAGGCTTAATTTCAAGGGTATAATGAGAAACAAAGATACATTTTCAGAGACCATATATGTAACTACAAATTAAAAGAAAATAGATGAAAGTCACGTTACTGTTACTGGTACTATTACTGCTTATTTGTGATTGGTTGTCTTGGCCAGTCTTTGCACTCTAGCCACACCAAGTCACCAAACCTTGGGATGGTGTTCACTAGTTTTTTGGGATGGCATGTAGGATTTCATGTGTGGGTTTGTATCCCACTCCTCTTAGCCTAAGGATAACCCGTTTGTTTGCCATCGGCACATATTGCGGCTGCAAACATCCCCCCGCAACCAATTTTGTTGTCGGCTGCAAATCCCACATACTATTGACACTGAAGAGACATATTTTTGTTGTTATAAAACACTCCCCATTTTTGTTGAGTTGCATCAATAGTTTGTACTTTGATGCATTTGAAAAAATACACAATAGTGGTAGTATATGGTTATGGTTAGGAAATAATTTCATAGGCAAAAATATGACAACACCCTTATCATACGCAAAGATTGGTAAAAAAACAAACGCTTACGTGGCATCCTATGTGACACACTTATACCATTAACAAAAAAACTATCACATCCTATAGCATAAGACCATACAGTATGTTTGTCATCAGGGGATTCATGATTATTTGTCACTATCCCAGGTGTTTGACTAGTAGTGGGATATTTCTGTGGTCAATGTGTTTGACTAGTGGTGAGATATTTCTGTGGTCAATTGTGGTGGGGAACACTAACCACCACACCCAATCATCTTTTTATCTTTCTCTACCTCTCTCTACATTTTAATTAATTAAAATATACATTTTTTATGGGAAAATGACTTATAAAAGTAAGAATGTTTCAAAAATGTTCAAAAAAACCATTGTAGTTTTGTATGTTCAAAAAATACCATCCAACTAAAGCTTTTATAGTGAAAAACACCAACAGACTATTTCTTTTGATCAAATGTTACCTATGTAACCGGCAAGTGTAGGTTAACTTTTAGAGTTTACCGGTGACAAGGAAAAATAAATGACATAGACCTATGCAACCTGATATGTTCGATTAAGGGAGCGTACGTGGATTAAAGGCTTTTCTATTCAGATTCGTCAATTAGAGGAACAACTACAGGAAGAGAGTGAAGAATCGTCTTGGGTTCAGTGAAGAATTTTTAGGGTTCGATCGTTCATTAGTGCATCCAACATAATGTGAAGCCGATTTCTTTCTACAACCGGATATGTTCATCTTCATGTAAGTTGTAGTCTCATCTTGAATCGATTTCTATTCCAGATTGTGAAGAAATGTCTATAGGGTTTATGTAATTTTTTTATTCTTCAAATACTCATTAAGATGTAGTTAACTTATTAAGGTGTAGGTTTAGTTCGATTTTTAAAGATTTTCCTAGTCCACATACGACTTGTGATGTGGTTGCTAAAGCTTCTTAAAAACTCAGATTATGGTATTTTTTCGATGATTTTAAGTTTGTTAAGTTGTAGTTTTAGTTTAATTACAAGTGGTCTTGAAAGTAAATTGTTGTCATTAGTATAAATGTGAACCGAGAGTATAAAGGTGTTTAAAGTACATTGTTGTAATTATTATGTCATTTTAGCATATGTTAAGTTTATATATTGACTTTCTCTCTAATGTGATTATGTGACTTGCTAATCTTTGGCTTTGACTTTTGCAGTGCTTAAACCTTCAACAACTTGACTTTGACTTTTTTTCAATGTTGTTCTCAACAGATGGTGCGCTTAGTATACATGTTTATCATAATGAAATGTTTGTTCCTGAGCCTTTGATTTACTTCAATTCTGATAAGAATTCTGTTACGGGGATGGACTTACGAAACATGGAGTTCAAGGAATTCATTATCTACATTCGAAATTTGATAAGGGATAAATGTCGTGATATGTGTTATTGTCTTCCAAATCGGGCCATAGTGCCTTACGCACATGTTTGTAATGAATATCATCTACTTTTTATGCCCTTTAAATTTGTTTGTACATCTAATGTTTTATATTCTGTTTTATGCCCATGTTACAATTTTTTTGGGTTAAAAATGAGTGACTTTAATAGGTTGTGACCAAACTGCCCATATATATATATATATATATATATATATATATATATATATATATATATATATATATGGTTAAAAATGAATGACTTTAACAGTTTGTAACCAAACTGCTCTTGTATATAATTTTTTTTGGTTAAAAATGAGTGACTTTAACAGTTTTTGACCAAACTGCCCCTGTGAATGTAAGTTCAAAATAAATAACCAAAAAACATTGACATCATTTAATTTAGACCAAAACTATTTCAGTCTAACATGTTTTTCAATCTGTGATATTATACATATTTATAGTATAGTTATAATAGATGGTATCTAAGTGTAATTAATATATATATATATATATATATATATATATATATATATATATATATATATATATATATATATATATATATATACATTAAACCATGTACAATTTTTTAATAATCAAAATATAATTACAAATCATAATGGTATCAGAGCATGGGATCTAGCCTAACCGTAAAAACAATTCTGTCGGCCACACAAATTGCCGATGAATCTTCTACTACAATTGACCAAGCAGATACTAATCATCCTCCATGGCTCTTCTTGCTAGCTTCACTACTGCTGAGAAGCATTCTCACAATACTCACAAGTTTGCTTTTACCCTCTCTCCAACCAATTACGCATACTGGAAAGCCATGATCAAACCCTTTCTTATTACAAACAATCTTTATGGCTATGTAGACGGTACAATTATGTGCCCTGAAAAACAACTTCCTCCTGCAGCAGCCACAGCTGCTGATCTGAAACCTGAACCAAGAGACAACCCAAACTACTCTATTTGGGTCGCTAATGATGCCCACGTACGCATGCTGATAATCTCCACAATCTCAGAAGCATCTTTTCGACACGTACAAGGTACCGCCTCTCAAGAACTCTGGCTTTCTCTTGAACGTGCATATGCTCCACACTCCTCATCTCGAGAATATACTCTCAAAACACAATTATTGAGAATCAAGATGAAGGGAGATGAAACTACTAATGCATATTTGAATCGCGCTCAAGAATATGCTGATGCTTTAGCGGCTATTGGATCTCCTGTATCGGACAAAGATTTAGTTACGCTTGTTGTTTCTGGTCTAAGAGAAGAATACAACAGTCTTAAAGCTACAATCACAGCCAGACAGTTTCCTACCCCATTCACTCAACTACATGCTCATCTTAGTGATCATGACTTCATGATAGGAAAAACACGGAACCCTACAACACCAGTTGTTCAAGCGTTCCACACAACTACAAATGCAACCTCAACACCTTATGCATCAACATTGGCAGCTCAACTGGGTCCTCATACTACTTCCCTCAACTCCCTCGGCTTCAACATTGTACCAAACTCAATCTCTGGCTCTCAACCAACAGGTCCTCAAGCCTATTATGGATCTCGAAACAACAACCGTGGCTCCTACACTCGTGGAAGACATGGATCCTCTCGCCCTAACAGCAATCGTGCACGAGGTGACCGCCAATTCAGCTGGGCTTCAAACCAAAACACCGTCTATGGCACATGCAATCGGTGTGGCATTGGTCATCTTCCATCACAATGTCCAAACAGAGATCCATCTACTATCCGTCCGCGCAACATTGCCAACCTTGTTGAGAGTCATATCCCCGCAGGCTCCAGCTCATGGTTTCCTGACACCGGTGCCAATGCTCACACCACGCCTGATCTTGCCAGCATGGACGATTCTCGCACGTACCAGGGTAATGACAATCCACATGTCAGTGACGGTAAGGGTTTTCCTATTCTCCACATTGGTTCCTCTCGTATCTTCTCACCAAACAAAACTTTTCAGCTCACAAACATCTTACACGTTCCATACATCACAAAACAACTTCTTTCAGTTCAAAAATTTTGTTTAGATAATAATGTCTTTTTTGAATTTCACTCTTCTTTTTTTGTCATTAAGGACATGTCTGCACGCACTACTCTTCTCACGGGCCCCAGTGAAGATGGTCTCTACAAGCTCAAGCCTCAGTCGTTCCGGTCCAAGTCTACTTCTCCTGTTGCTTTCTCGGCTGCCCGTGCATCTCCTGTCATATGGCATCGACGACTTGGACATCCTCATCAGAGTCTTTTAAATTTTATGTTTTCTAATTTTTCACTTCCTGTTACAAACAAGTCTTCTTCTAGTTTTTGTTCATCATGTCAACTTGGAAAAATCTTCAAAATTACGTTTACATGTATCTTCTTTTCGTAGTAATAAAATACTTGATTTAGTTTATTGTGATGTGTGGGGGCCTGCTCCCGTTCTTTCATCTAATGGTCATCGTTATTTTCTATTATGTGTTGATTATTTTTCTCGTTATATATGGTTCTTCCCTATGTCTCAAAAATCTGATGTATTCAACATCTTTCAAAATTTTATTACAATGGTTGAAAGACAATTTTCCACAAAACTCAAGCGTGTTCAGCCTGACTGGGGTGGAGAATTCCGCCCTCTATCCAACCTTTTTACAAATCTAGGTATTATTCATCAGCGTTCTTATCCCCACACAAGTGCTCAAAATAGATTTGTTGAATGACGTCACAGACATGCTTTTCTCCATGGAACTCTTGCCAAAACAGTATATATGAAACAACCACCAGGTCTTGTGGATCCAAAGCACCCAGATCACGTTTGTCTGCTAAAAAATCTATATATGGCCTGAAACAGGCCCCCCGGGCTTGGTTTCAACGTCTAACTCAAGCTCTGCTTCTTCTCGGTTTTCATGGATCCAAGACAGATCCCTCGCTCTTCATCTACTCCCAAGGTGGTACTCTCCTCTACATGCTGATTTACGTTGATGACATAATCCTCACAGGCAACAATAGTGATGCGATAAACAATATTGTTACTCAACTTGGGAACACCTTTGCCATCCAAGATCTTGGATGTCTAAATTATTTTTTGTGAATTGAAATCGTACCAACCGGAGACAGTGTCATCTTATCTCAGAAAAAGTACATCTTATCTAAATTATTTTTAATCCAACTCATCTTATAACCCATAATAACAGGTTACCAGGAGGTTGGATTTGAACAAAACTTAAACTTGGCTGGTATTTTTAATACAATGACTTTAGTTGGATGATATTTTTTAAACAAGCAAAACTTCAATGGTTTTTTTTTTAACGTTTTTATAATATTCTTACCCTTATAAATCATTTTCCCTTTTTTGGTGGATATCTCATAGGTTTAGTAGTTGGATGTGGTGATAAATAATATTCACCATTATAGTAGTTGTGATGAATATAATGGATGGTTTAAAGACACATAATACCCATTAATTATGGAAAATATTACTATAATTTAATGTGAAATGCATTAATTATAAAAAATATTCTCCATAATCATAATATATTTAACATTTTTTAATGAAATATATTTCTATAATTAAGGTATTTCACATTTAATTATGATAATATTTCTCATAATTAAGAATTTTTCATTTAGGGGTTTTGGTACATGTTAGAAAATCCCAATTGCCAAAGGTATTTTTAACTAAAAAGTGTTTTTTAATTATTATTTAATAATAATTAGTATAGTTATGACATTTGATTAAGGGTGTTTTTTTAGTAAAAGATGTCTATTTAGTAAATTGGGTGTTTAACCATTCCCTTGTCAAAATACAAAAAAGGACCCACAATAAAACTTGATACACAAATTAAATAAGACCTTCCATAATATGTCTTTGAGATATCTATCTATAAGAATCTATTATTACATACATAATTGTTGAAGAAGGAATACAATAATCAGGCCAAACTAAGCTACTGGTATGATCTAAATTATAACTCCTCTATTGACATTACATTTCAAAGTTGAAATGCAACCCAAATTGTAGGATTTGTAATTTAATATTTGAATCATCATAGTGATGGTCTAGAACAAGGAGGGATCTTTATTGGCTTTGCTCTGTCTCCACATTCCTGTTAACATAATCCAGATATCCCTGCCAACACCCATAAATGACTAATGAATCCTCATTTCAGATTACTATTTCTCTTTCAAAAAAAAACATCAGCATGATACATGTTTTTTTCTCTTGTTCAACAACTGCATTATATTATGGGTTTAAAAATTTTGAATACCTGCAGTATTCCAACAGCCGCAAATTTGTCATTTATTGTTTTTGCTTCCACTGTGGAGAATTTCAATGGCTCCAACAATAGATCCACATTCTGTTGCCGATTCAATTTTCAGTGTGACAACATTCAAATTTTCAAGAATAAGCCAACATTTGTGAGATAAATGTCAAAAAAAAAAATAATAGATATATTGTTCAATAGAAAATGGGGGATGTGATAGAACATATTATGACACCTTTGATGTGAAGCACTCGTCCCAAAATGTATATCCAACACCTTCAAGTTTCCCCGTTTTACAAAGGCTGTCAATAAATACTTTCACTTGGGTAGCCTAACACAAGTGAACAAATTCAGTCATAAATTCCAAAGTCAATAAATTTTCTACATTAAAAATAACATACTTCTGGACAGTTTCTTTGTCTGTCATATGGGCACCCAACAATAAAAGCCGACAAAGACAGTTTTGATATCTGCACACAAAAACAAGAATAAAATAAACCCTCAAATTACTCAATGATCCCAAATAAAGTAAAACAGTAGTCTTTATAACAACAAAAAGCTTACTCCCTTGTGACTGACTATAATAAGGAGCAAAAAAATTACATAAAAGAGAGCATTTTGGTTGGGTTCAAACTAACCAGAAATTCAAAATCAATAGCCATCAAACCGATATTGCTTTTCTTCCTAACCAGGACACTGCAACATGAAAACAACCTACTCTGTTATCGCATGCTGATGCATATTAGTTATTACAAACAAGTATGAAACATAAACTGGAAGGTGGAGTGACTTTATAAAATCAATATAGAAGAAGCATTTATGAAAAACATGTTGATAAGTTACCTTAAAGGTGAAGCAACTTTATTGTTAACATCTGAAACCGCGAGGCCAACATACTTATCACCGACATCTAAACCAAGCAACCGCCCTCGTTCTCCAGCAGGCGTTTTCAGCAACTTCTGGTACAGACTCAGCGGCTTCATGTGCTTCATCTGTCAATTCATTATTCAAAAATTAGCTCTTTATATGCATTTGAAATCTTTTCAAGCGGATTCTAAACTCTGACTACCCTGAGTTTTATCAATAACATTTGAAATCATATAAGGGGCACCACTACCACTCTCTTTGACGACAAGTACAAGGAGAAAATATGAAATCATATAAGACTGACCCCCGATAATAGTTTACTTTTATGCAGTAGCAAGTAGCAGAACCGAGCGAGGCATGTAAATTGTAAAGTAAACCCAAGAGACCAGAACTACAAGAAGAAATTAAGCAAGCAAGCTAGACGGGAACTAGGTAACCAAGCTGAAATCAAATTAGCTGAGATCGAAACACCAAAATGTAGGTCAGGCATTTGTACAAACAGTTGGAGAGCATCAACATTCAACAAACACAAAGAACAAGAAGCAGAGGAGGGGCACCAAAACATCAACGTGTCTATGACTGTACTCCTTACCATCGATCGTGCAAGCTAAAAGAACATGAACAATTCGGACAACAGATTCCCTTTCACGCCTCCCGACTCGATTTCAATTGCATACCTTTAAATTTTTTCTACAGGTGTTTGGTTTTTTTTTTAGAAAATAAATAAATTGTGTATTACATATTTATAATGTTTGCATACCTTAAATTATGAAATCTATTCTTTGCGATATGAGACTTTCAAATATGCTGACTGCTGAGTTTTCACTTTTCACCGAGAAAAAGATACGAGGTGGACATAGTAATTAACAAGTATAATACTCGAAGAAAATGCCCTAATTAATTTGAGCCTATAAAATATATATGTTGACCTTTTATTCAACTATGTATTAATAAATTGTTTTATATCAATATATATAATATTTTTTAAATGTTGTTTTATTACTCAAATTTTGAATAAAATGTAGGACTTTTTCATTTTGAATCATTTAAATTGGTATCAACGTTTTTATGTTGGCACAATAACACTTTTGACAAGTTCTGAAATTAGGGTACCCTTGAAATTATCATCTAAAAAAAGTATTTTATAACTACATAAGATACAACGTATTCTTTGTTGGCAGCCAGGCATTGGAAAACTGTCTGATTGTGTTATTTGCGATTTTAATCTTATATCTATCTTGATTCTAACATGTTTATTTATTTGGCATTCGGATGTTTATTTTTAATTTGTTGAAATACAATAAGCAAAGATAGTCGTGTACAAGTTATTCTAGTGTTCATGGATAATATTATTAAAAAAAATACATATTTGGAAATAAGATTAGAAGTATTTTACCTTAGCCTTCATTAAACGGTTTTGTGCAAGTAATATAATATTATTAATTATACAAAAGCAGAATTTATTTACACAAGCAAACACGAGAAAGCGAGGAAATTCGAAATAAAAAGGGTATAAAAATAGTAAATACGTTTGGCATGTTGAGAGTTGATGCAATCTGGGATTAGTTATTAGCAGTTGGTACAACAATACAAATAATTGAAAAATGTCCTACAACATCAGACCCAAACTAAAGACCATGAGATCATGAGATGACAAAACTGGGAATAAATTAAATGATGAGATTCCCAATTTAAGTGGATCAACAACAAAACTATGGCTATGACTTATTATAATTTATTAAGAATGTACATGAAAAAATGAAGAAAAAATGTCAAGCTGTATTCGCTTTTTAGCTGATCTTCTAAAAGGCTTTCTGTTTCTCCATAACAAGCGTTCGATTCCACTGCGTCGCCTGCTACTAATATCCTTGCTCTCTGCATCCCTTCTCAACTCCACTGGTCTTGGAGACGGGGTCTGAGGCTCTTCTTCACATTTCAGTTTAACATTTGACCTGTCAAAGTCAAAGTCAAACATTTACTATGTTGCTACTTTTTTTTTTTTTTACAAATAAATGAAAGTAGGTTGCTAGAGAGAGAGAGAGAGAGAGAGAGAGAGTTGCCTGTCTTGTTGGATTATTGATGATGAGGTACATCTATTATCCTCAATCTCAATCTCAATCTCATCTAGTAGATCTATCTTGCATGCAGGGCAAATGTAATCCTTTGGCACCCATGATAACTTGATGCACTTGAAGTGATACCACTCTTCACATTTATCACAACAAATCATTGGTATCCGATCATATGGCTTCCTACAGATGCAGTAGAGCATACTGCGTTCTCGTAATAACTGCACAATATTTTTATTTTTATTTTATTTTAGGAAAAATATGTATGTTTTGGAAGGAGAGAATTTTCAAGATACAAATTGAGGTACCCTATTATTCATTCTACTTTTACCTTAAGTTCGTTGTCAAAGTGCACAGCCAAATTCTCGCCTTTATCTATTAATTCAAAAACTTTATGCAATTCAAGTGCACCAGAATCAGCAGAAACCTCTTTCGCCTTCAACGCCCATTGCAAACCAATTTCCTTTATTTCCGTAAGTCTCTTCCACAAATAATCTTCCAAAGGAACCTTTATAGCCACCCCCTGCAACCAAACCAAATCATATTCTTATATCCAAATTCCATAAATATAGATAGAAAAAAAATAACAAAATCAAGAAATGACTAGTAGTAGTAGTAGTAGTAATACCTCTTTTAGCAGGCGGCGGATCTGGTGGATTGAAGGTTTTTGTGAGGAGGAGGAGGAGGGTTGTAATAATTTAGATGCTCGAACTCTCCATGAATTTCTTGCTAATGCAAACTCAAATTTGCTGTTACTTTCACCATCATACACCCCAGCCACCTCTACTGCCTGCACCCAAAAAAATAAAAAACATTACACATAAAAACCTTTTAAAAAAAATACTACAGTATATAATAACAACTGAAACCTGTATTTTATATAAGTTACCTTTAAAGCAGTGGACAGTTTAGAAAAAACAACACTTGGGTCATTGCCTAGAGAAGCCAAGGAAAATTCTACAATCTTAGTCAAGCAATCTTTGTATGCCACAGCTTTCTCTACAATTTCACCAATTAAAACCTTTTCCTCAATCCTACAAAGCAAAGCAAACATCAATGAATGAATGGATTTGTTGTTTAAGCAGTCATACTCATACTCATGCTCTGTTGATTTTACTTACTCGACACATAGGTTATCAGCATCTGATAGAAGCTTCACAAACATATCCAGCTCGGGACGTTTTGCATCAATTTTCTGAAAACCAAATGCAAATCAAAATATATAATAATTTCAAAACTTTCTTTAATCAAAGTAACTAAATCGTACCAGCTGAGAGATTTTGCCACTCTCAATGATGTGGCAATGGGGACACATGTGAGCTGATGCATGACTTTGAGTTGTGCCACATCCTAAACTTGGTTTTATGCACTGCATATGATAGCTGCATTGCATGCAACATAATAATTAATAACAGTGAGTATAAAATATATATATATATATATATATATATGGAAAATGACGCTTTTTTGAATCAAAGAAGCACAAAGAAAGCATGAGAGCTTCTTACCATTCCATGCACACTGAACAAGTTGAGAGTTCCTGATTCCCAGACTCACATGAGCAGAACATGCAAAACCTTCTTTGGTTTTGATTGCAGCCATCAGTCGTGTTATACAACTCTAAAGATCTGTCTAGACTATCTAATATCTGCACAAAAAAGAAAAACATATATATAAGAATAAGATGATGGAGAAGGTTAATATTAGGCTCATTATGATGTCCAAACCAAACATCTATAAGAGTTTATTTATCAATACAAGTAAAGTATATAACATTAACATGCGTACCTGAGATAGAGCATCGAGTAGCAGATTATCCTCTCCAGCTTTAACCCCAACAATGTCCCTGCCTCTCTGCTTCCACTCTTTCACCTTTTGTACTTGAGATGCAACCATCTCCATCTCCGTACAACTGAAAGCATCGGTGCTTCCAACTCCCTGCATTGGTTCAGTAAATGTAATATTACTATCATCTACATCTACATATATTATATACCAACCCTAAAAGGCTAAAACAAATATAGATGGATCGCTTTCAAGATATCAACAGTAAGAGACCACTACTGGTTCTCTATTGATAACTTCATTCAAGAAGAAGAAAAAAAAAACATCACCTCAAGTTGCAGTAACAAAGACCATGATCGATCTCCACTGCTGCAGTTGAAAAAAGATTTCACTTCCTCCACCCATACACTGCACAGCACAAAGCCAAAATGTTGCTTGAAAAAGATAATTACCACTGGATTAATAAGAATTTATAATTATAAATGTTACAGTATATGACAATTAGTATTATCATTTAATATAACGTGACAAGTCAAACCTTTTCTTTTGCCCATTAAATAGACGTTCACATTCTTATTGATTCTTTCAAATTAATAATAATGGTTAATTTATTACTCAAGTGTAAATGTGGGGCTCAAGCAGGAGATGGCAATGCTTGGTCACATTGTGCCTCGTTTCATTTGGATTCCAGAAGAAGAAATAAAATGAAGAGCACAAGAAAATATGACATTATGTTAGTATCTCTTTTTTCTATCAATTCCCTCAATGTCAATTCTAGTTAAATTGTTTCCACCAAGTATAAGTATTTATTTAAATAGGATCCAAACAAGTTTATTGAATTAAATTAACTAATGACAAACACAAAGCTTCTCTAGTCTTCCAAGAAGTCGATTGTCTCATCCAAAGCCTAGAGAAAACTAATAATAATCTCAATCCAATTGTTTGGTTAATCCCTTGTATTTAGGGGATAAACAATTCCCTTAGTATTAAATTCGAGCGTAATCTTCATGGGCCAAGGATCCTCGGTATTTGAGGTAGCTATTCCAGGGGTTATGAATGTAATGTAAGTTGTTAGATCACAAATTAATGACATATTAAGAAGGTATGCAACATGAACTGTAGTTGAAAGTACCCATCATTATGGCATCATATGAAAATGTAGTGCTAGGTTAATACGAGCATTTAAAATCCAGCAATCAGAACTATTGCAATAACCGAAAAGCAGATTACCATCTAATAGTAGAAGAACAAAAAGTACCTTTCTGATTTTATGAATTTTTTTCAATAATTTTATAGTTCACATATATTTACTACAAGAAATCTTCCACTTTAGCTATAGCCATCAACTTATATATCTAGATTAAATCCAAACAATTAATAAAAAGAGAGCAAAAAACTAAAGGAGAATTTGGATGATTGGTGAAACTCACTTGTGCCTCTTAACAGCATCAAGTAATTGGTCAACGATCAACGAAAAGGAAATCTTAATCATCTGCCATCAAAAAATGTCATAAGTAAAATACATGGAAGAAAAAAGAAAAAGGATAAACAGCATGCCCTCTTTTCTTTATTATAAACTTGAACAAAATAAACAATGTTTCTGCCACTAATCGCATATTAACACTGGAGAGAATAATAACTAATACCTTATATTGTCTCAAAGTTTCTTTAACGTCACTCAAATCAAACCTTTTATTGTCATTGCATGGACCAAGGATCTCTAAGGCTTTCTTAAGCCAATTCATACCATCAACCAATGACCTCCAAAAAGGACGAGATGCATATGCAACATGATGTTTTTCTGCATCCTCCAATAACGTTAGAACTTCCTGCAAAATGATCAAAAAAAGATCAGATAATATCATTAGGAAACATGGTACCTACAGGCTAACAAAAATCAA